CTGGCCCCCGCCTGCGCCCATCTCCCGATCTCTGATGGGCTTATCACCATCTTTGCTGCCACCGTGTCAGTCCATGTCTTTGAGAGTCTTCCTCTATTTTGCTGATCCCCCAACTTTTCCAAGCACGAGATCCTTTTCCAGTGACCGGTCCCTTCTGATAAGGTGCCCACAACATGTACGACAAAGTCCTTCCGTCCTCGCTTTTAAGGAACATTCTGGCTGCACTTGCGAGAAGATTTGTTTCTTCTTTTGGCAGGTCCGGGTGTCTGGTGCCCTCCACAAGATCACAATTCAGAGGCATACACTCTTCAGTGTTCTCATTCATGGTCCAACTCTCACATCCACATGAAGCAGTTGAAAATACTATGCCTTGAGTCAGGCACACCTTAGTCTTTAAAGTGACATCTGCCCGTTAGCGCGTTAAATGGAAGAGGAAGTTTGTAGCAGATAAGCCCATTTCAGTATGTTGTATTCTTGACTACTGCTTCATCTAGGAGCGTGATTCCTGTTTCAGATGTGAGAGAGATCCCTGGTTCAACTGGATGAGCCCAGAATTACAATTTGGCAATTAAGCTGGGTGGGAAGGGGGAAGAAAAGGGGTTTGCTGTTATTTCCTACTCGTAGCGACCTCACAGAACAGAGTAGAACTACCCCATAGGGTTTAAGCTGCTGTCAGCTGTGGCCTGGTTGGTGGTATGAAGCTGGCTGCAATCCCAAAGGAACTCAGCTTGAATCCGCCAGCTGCTCTCCAAGAAACGTCTCCTCATGTGTGATTTACTGCCTCTGAAAGCCCGCTGGAGGGTCAGCTGCGGGTCGGTTCTGACTTGACAGTGTTCAACAACAACAACAACAAGCTCTTCAGAAGCTGACCTCCTTCATCTTTCTCCCGAGCAGCTGGTGGATTCAAACCCCAGCCCAAATCACTGCACCACTGGAGAGCCTGGGGAGCTTGCATTATCTGAGCTGAAGTCTGTCTGGTTTGGGGAGTAGCTGTGAGAGCAGGGACTGTCTCCGCTGAGTGTGCTGGGGAACTGGTTGGAGGGCTGGGACTGAGCTAAGTCAAGTCTGTTGGGGAACTGGCTGGGGGGCTGGGACTGAGCCGAGTGTTCTGGGGAACTGACTGGAGGGCCGGGACTGAGCTGACTGTGTTGGGGAACTGACTGGAGGGCCGGGACTGAGCTGAGTGTGTTGGGGAACTGGCTGGAGGGCCAGGACTGAGCTGAGCATGTTGGGGAACTGACTGGAGGGCCGGGACTGAGCTGAGTGTGTTGGGGAACTGGCTGGAGGGCCGGGACTGAGCTCAGTCTTTTGGGGAACTGACTAGAGGGCCAGGACTGAGCTGAGTGTGTTGGGGAGCTGGCTGGAGGGCTGGGACTGAGCTGTGTTGGGGAACTGACTGGAGGGCTGGGACTGAGCTGAGTGTGTTGGGGAACTGGCTGGAGGGCTGGGACTGAGCTCAGTCTTTTGGGGAACTGACTAGAGGGCCGGGACTGAGCTGAGTGTGTTGGGGAGCTGGCTGGAGGGCTGGGAATGGCTGAACCTGTTGGTTTGGGGAGTGCCAGGCTTGGAGGGCTGTGTGCCCAGGCCCTCCTCGTCCTCTCTGATGCACACCAGCTGTGTTCCCTCCCTTCTTCCTCGCAGACGATGGGAAGTTGTCCTTGGAGGAATTCCAGCTCTTCTTTGCAGATGGCGTCCTCACCGAGAAAGAACTCGAGGATCTCTTCCACACGATCGACTCTGACAACACCAAGTGAGCCTCAGCCAGGGCAGGCGAGGGGGTGTGGGCGGGGTGTCTCCCTCCTGCCACACACCCGGGTCGTCTGCCCGCAGGAGACCCCAGAGCCCTTCATCGCAGTGCCAACCCCGGCCTCGCCTCGCATGTGCCGGGCCTTGCTGCTTGGGATAGTCTAGAGGGAGGAAGGCTGGCACTGCACTGGCCACGGGCAGCAGCTTTTCTCTCTTGGGCACAGAGGGCTGGCCCGGAGAGCCCCTCGGCTTGGCACAGTGTGCATGTGACACGACGCTGGGTGGTGACAGTGCCTTGTTCTTTCAGTGCTTTATATTCGCTGTGTGGGTGAGATGCTCACCTGTCCCCACCTGAACTGTGATGCTGATCCTCTCACCTGAACACCGGGCCAGCCCCCCCCCCCTTCAGGTTTCTGAGGATGTGAATCTTAACAGGAGCAGAGAGCCTCGTGTTTTCTCTGGTAGAATGACTGTGGGCTTTGAACCACCAACCTTTCCGTTAGCAGCCCAACATGGAACCCACTGCACCCCCACGTGCCGCCCTTACCCTGACCTTAACCTGGTTTCTGGTCCTTGCTGTTTGCTGCTGAGTTGATTCTCTCAGCCATCCATGTGTACAGAGTTGAGCTGCTCTGCAGGTTTGTAACTTGTGGCTCTTCAGACACATGTTGCCAGGCCTTACTTGTGCAGTGCTCCTGTATGGTTCAGACTGCCAGCCCTGAGTTTCCTAGGCCAGCGCTGAGCTGTTTGTGCCCACCAGAGACTCCTTTCTAATCGTCCATGTACTTAAACCCCTTTCCTAACTCAGTGCTGTCGTCTATAATCAGCCCAGCGGTTCATCCCAGCCCCTCTTTAAACCAAGTGTCAAATGCACCTTGTGCTCGAAGGTTCCAGCTTTAACTCCGTCCTCAGCCCTCCCTTGGGATTCCCAGCAGGATGAGGCCCACCCCTTCCTTCGTGTTGGGGAGGACCAGAGCCCCCATGTGGTTCCTTCCCAGGCCCTCGGTGAGATCTGAGAAGCCGGGGCAGCTGTGGCAGTGGGATGAAGAGCTGCCGCTCACTGTTCCTTTGTCTGCTGCAGTGGACCTAGTAAAACATGCCTGTGCATGTCAGGACTGAGGAGGGCTTGGGAGAGTGGGAGGCTGGGACCGGAGACCCGGGGAGCAGGGGAGCCTAGACCCGAGATGGGCATGGCATTTTGAATCTCTGTGGGGAAGGGGGTGCAGGCCCGAGAGGACTGGGAACCAGAAGGACGTTCCTGAGTGGCTTCTGCTCCCCTGGGTCCCGCATGCGGCTGGAGCCTTGTTGATTTATTCATTGGTCTCTTTTGTGTTGGACCACCTGCATGGAGGGCAGGAGAGAGGGCCCGCTGTGACCCTGACTGTGCCTGGGGACAAGGTGGGGGGTGGACTCAGCATTCTGGAAGGATTTTTGGATTCTCGAGTAGATCTGTGAACCTCAGCCGTAAAGATGGCTTTTCTGCCCACAAGAATCTACAGGAATTAAAAAGAATTGCAACATGCTGGTTTAAACAGAGGGCACTCTTGGGCCTACTGGTAAGAAGCTGCAATGCAGTCCCAAAGGTTTGTGGTTCAAATCCATCAGCTGTTCTGTGGGAGAAGGATGGACAGTCTCCTTCCATGGGATTTACTGCCTCTGAAATCCCGCTGGAGGGTCAGCTATGGGTCACTTCTGACTTGACAGTGTTCAGCAACAGCGGTTTAAACCGAAGGAGTCTTGGTGGTTACGTGACTAAGGGCTCCAACGGTTCGAACCCACTGGTGGCTCTGTGGGAGAAAGATCTGTTTTAGGAAAGACTGTTGTTCGCCGCTGAGGTGGTTCTGACTCACGGTGACCCCGTGTGAACAGAACCAGAGCCCCTCAGTCCTGCCATCCTCACAGTCGCCGCGGCTGCAGCCACTGTGACCCCGTCTCTTTGAGGGTCCTCTCTTGCTGAGTCTTGACTTTTCCAAGCACGACGTCTTCTGTAACTGTTACAACATTGGAAGTCCTGGGGAAAGTTCTGCTCCGTCACACGGGGTTGCTGTGAGCTAGAATCAAGGCGTCAGCACCAGCCACAGTGTAAACGGATGTCGCCCATCTGAGTTGTACAGGCCTTGTCAGGAGCTTTATATGCCGCTGAGTGGAGCACTCTCCAAGAAGATCGGACTGCTGGGCCCACATCTTTCTGGCACTGAACCCTTTATTGTGGAAGCAGCCAGAAGGGCTGATTCTACTAAGGTCATGATTCTAGGCCAGCCAGCCCCCCACCCCACCCCTCAAGAGACCACATCATCAAAACACAAAACCATGTGGTGGGAAATCCGTTCTCCCTCAGGGTGGCCTGTGTGTGTCGGAGTAACTCCGCCCCATTGTGTTTTCAGAGGCTGAGATTTTGAAAGTTGACTTCCAGGCCCTTCTTTCAAGGTGCTTCTGGGTGGACTTGAACTTCCTAACCTTCCATTTAGCAGCCAGGTGTATTAACTGTTGCACTAACTGGGCCTCCTACAGCCAGGAGGCGCGATCACCTGAGTGCACATGCGCTCAGGCACATTCTAACCCTGACCCATCAGCGTGGGGTGTCCAGCCTGCCCCCGCCCTGTACCTTCTCCACAGTGTAGAAATGGGACATGGCACCCATGGGCTAAGCCTAGCATACGGAGAGCTATTCCAGGCTCTCTAGTCCCCTGGCCCCCACAGACCTGGCCACCGAGAGGGCAGTGAGCCCAGTGCATGTTGCACTGTTGCTCTGAATGGTCAGGCCCCTGCCCTCTGCTCACAAAGGGTTCAGCAGACAAGGTCAAGGTGAGGTGGTGGGTGAAGTCAGCGTGAATCACCCCAGCCTCCTGGCCTTCTCCCCAACATGGAGTGTTACCTGTCCCCTGTCCTCTGCAGGTGGGGTGGATGGGCAGGAAATTGGGGAGGCAGGACAGTGGCCATGCACAGCTGGGGCAGGGGGCTGGTACAGTCCACTAACTATGTCTGTGTCTCTCTGCAGCCACGTGGACACTAAGGAGCTGTGTGGTAAGTGTCCTCTACGGTGCTGGGATGGGGGAGGAGCGGGGGAGTGCAGAGGGACTGGGGGAGCAAAACCTCCATGACCTGACCTTGCCTTCCTCACCCCAGATTACTTTGTGGACCACATGGGGGACTATGAGGACGTCTTGGCCTCCCTAGAGACCCTCAACCACTCCGTCCTCAAGGCCATGGGCTACACCAAGAAGGTGAGTCAGGGCCGTGGTGGCTCAGGGGTCAGGCCCTGCCTAGACTCGTGATGGCCAGGATCAGGTGGCCCTGCCCCAGGGTGGCCTTTGCTGGACCTCCGCGACATGGCTGAGGGTAACTGTGAACTGAGGTGAGCAGCGAGGTCCCATCCATGCTGACTTTAACTCCTTCAAGACAGAATTTTTATTTTTAGTTTTGATATTTTTTTTTTTTACAAAAGCCAAGTGTTTTTAGTAATGAAAGGCATTTTGAATAGAATGCAAAAGCATTTTTAAGGTCATGTGGATTTTGATACAATTCGTGGGACACATATGTCCCTAGGGGTCTCTGGTGGGGTGGTGCAGGCCATCACCAGGTGGCAGGAGGCACGTAAAGTGGGACATTAATTTCCCACTGAACCTCAGAGTTTGTAAGGGAGCTGAGTACTGTCTGCCCCACCTGCTATGAATGAGTTAGAGTCGGTGTCTGACAGGGAGCTGGATGTCCTACCTCAGAGCTGGACACCTGTCCAGGTTGGCATGCTGGGCTCGGTCCTAGCATGGGGTCCATGAAAGGCAAGCCACGTGCTTTTGAGGCTGCAGAGGTCAGTCCTGGGATAGGTTGTCACTCCTGATGCAGTGGGATTCCCGGGGATGGACAGGACCTTGGTCACTAGTGAGTAACATGGTGCTTAGAGATGGGAGAGATGCCCAGTGCCTGTGTCCTAGCTGAGGCCTGCTTGTTGCCATTGCTGGTTTGTCTGTTTGCTTCCAAGTCCATTCTAACTCCTGTCGGCCCCAGGTTCGCAGAGTCCAACTGCCCTGTGCGGTTTTCAAGGCTCTGGTCTTTCAGAAGCAGAGGTGTGTCACTTGAGCTTCCTCCAGGCCTGAGGTCAGTGTTAATGGATCAACATCTATTCAGCCAGAAGTCTTTCAAGAGAAACACCCATCAAGCAACAAGGTTATGTGTTGATTGGATGGTGACAGTGTTGTGAGTAGAGGCCTGGAGGAGCCGAATGGTGTTGTAACTGGAGAGTTCAGCTGATGAAGTCAGCTGCACAGGCCACCCACCCACGGCCTTGCTGAGCCTGGCTTTCTCCATCTGTGAAGTAGGTCCTTACCAAGATGGCTTGTTAGGGACTTGGCACAGGGCCCAGCACAGAGCAGAGATGACCAGTCATTTTTTTTATCGTTACTGTTGCTATTAAGTGGGTTCCAGATCACAACGACCTTGTGTAGAACAGGATGGACTAGTCCTCGGTCCTGACCGTCTTCAGCAGTTCGTTAGCATGTTAAAGCCCACTGCAGTGACCACTGCGGCCATTCTTCTGACCAAGTGTCTGTCGGTCCTGACCGTCTTCAGCAGTTCGTTAGCATGTTAAAGCCCACTGCAGTGACCACTGCGGCCATCCCCTCACTGGGCATGCCTCAGTTCTCTGGTGTTGCTATAACCGAGGCAACCCAGTATATTCTGTATAGTATACGGGACCAGCAGTCCAAATCCAGGGTGTGGTTCCAGGACCCTCTGTGTAAGGTGTGCAGGAAGGTCCTTATTTCCTTAATGTTTGCAGACCAGGCATTCCTTGGGGGTCTCCGTGGGTCCTGGCCTTCCTGAGCACCGAGGAGCTTCCTTGAGCAGTTGCCTGGGTCCCCAAGAGCTCACTCCATTCCTGGCAAACCTTTCTTGGTGACCCTGAGGTCCCCTCTCGGCTCACTGTCCTCCCGTCTCCTCTCTCGTGGGCCTGTGGTGGGGTTAAGGGTACCTGATTCCATCCTTAATCCTCTTGCTTTATCAGATCGTGAGGAATGATCACATAGCTTGCACACTCAGTCCTTGCACCCCCAGTTTTACCAACCAGATGTCCTTCCTTAGCCACTGGTTTTCCCTAATAAGCTGCCCTACAGAAATAAGTGAGCAGGGTCCTGCCACCCTCGCTTCTAAGGAGCACACGGGCCTCATCAGGTGGCTCTGTGGGGGGGTTTAATGCCACTTGGTTATTGCTCTGCTGTGTTTTTGAGAATCCACATCCATCACGTATATCCAAAAATATCTCGGTCTGCTCCTGAGTATCTACTCCACATTTCCATTTCTGTTCTAATGTCAGGCGGTTTTGACTCTCACTGCTTTAAAGTGTATTTTAATATTGCATAAGACCATTTCCCTGTAATTGCTGATGTTTTTAGAATATTCTGGAAGCATCAGGATGGGTGATAAGAGGGGAAGAGGACATGGAAGGACCCCGGCTTCTGCGTCACTTAGTTAAGGAGATAAAGCCCAGCCCCGAGTAGTGTTGGGTTACCAGCAGCGCTAACAGCCTCCGTAGCTGCTGCCTGGCCCCGTCGTGGGCCCAGGAACACGTCATCGGCCTCCATCGAGGCCGCACCTTAGAGTCTCGCTCTCACGCATGACTCACAGTGTTAGGTGTGGTTGACCTGTGATGGTAACTTGGCTTTTTCTTTGCTGTTTTCTAGCTGCCTCTTGTTTGTACACCTGCATCTCACTGATGACTTTTTTTGCAGCCCTTGTGGCTCAGTGGATTTAGTATTGCTCTACTAACCGCAAGGTTGGCAGTTCAAAGCCAGTGACCGAGCTGAGGGAGAACGATGAGGAAACTTGGAAGCGCACAGGGTGGGCCTGCCCAGTCCCCCGGTCACTAGGAGTTGGAGTCCACTCGATGGCAGTGGTCTTTTCTGGGGAGATTGGCTTGCATCTTCTGATGATTGCTGATATCCTGGCTTGTTCCATGAGGTAGCTGTCCCCTCTGTATCAACTGTGTGCCAGTCCCTTCTGGTCTGATAGCGGTCCCTCTTCTGTTATGTCCTGAAGCACCATCACATTGCTACCCAGGCAGCCTTGGTAGGCTCCTTCCCATTTTCAAGTTCATTGTCCTCACATCCTCCACTGTGACAGTGTGGGTGTCAGCCTTTGTTTTAGAATCTTCTTCAGCATATTAAGAAACTCTTCCCCCCCCCCCCCAGTCCCTTTGTTAGAGTCTATCTTAGGAGGTGGTCGTTAATGTTCTTGGATGCTTTTCTGGGGTATTTTGAAATGATCATAGGATTGTTCTGCTGATAGGGCGGATTCTATTGTTAGTGGGGCACCAGCCGGCACAGGCTTCCTGCGAGCAGCCCTAATTGTGAGCTCGTCTCTCGGCCCAGGGCGGTTTTCCTCACTGGCCGAAGGCTTCCTGTCAGTCTCCGTTGGGATGAACTGTGGGGCACGAGAGCATTGTGAGTGAGTCAGCATGTTGAACCAGGGATCCGCGCTCTCTTCAAAGAGGGAAAGATTATCCGTAACAACTCTTAGATGTAGATCAGGGCTCAACAGGGTAAGAGAATATTTGAATAATTATTTTTTTTTCTAGGAAGTGAATTTTTTTTTTTAATAATTATTTTAAGGTCAGTCTTAACTTTCAGTCACGTTTTGTATCCAGTTAAAGGCAAACTTGGTCATGCTGTGAGGAGGGGCCAGTTCTTGGGAAAAGACATCACTCTGGGCAAGGTGGAGGGTCAGCGATGAGAGAAGACCCTACCCAGGTGGACGGACAGACGCAGTGAGGGAACAGTGGACTGGGGCGTGTCTGAGATGGCGGGGAGGGAGGGACAGGGCAGGAGCCAGAGCTCTTGTTCACAGGGTCACTAAGACTCGAAGGCAACTAACAACAAAATTCTATTTCTAAATAAAACTTTGTGGAGATATTTTATTATTTCATAATTGATTATGTTTAATATGCTCTTATGATATAAAAAAATATCTAGGACATGGTTTGGAACACGATAGATCCTGAGTATAGGTAGTTGCTGCTGTGTGCCGTCCGGTCAGAATTGACTCGTAGCTGACCCTCCAGCAGGTTTTCAGCAGCAGTAAATCCCCGTGGTGGAGAGTGCTTGTCTTTCTCTCACGGAGCATCTGGTGGATCTGAACCTTGTGCCTTTGGGATGTCAGCACAGTTCCTTAGCACTGGTTCACTAAGACGCCTGCAGCTGCAGCGTGAGGGAGCTCTGGGAGCATTGTCCACGGGGAGTTGTTGCCCTGCTGGCCCTGTGCACACCTCTCTGGCAGTTCGAGTCCAGCAGTGGCTCCACTGGGAGTGAGGAGCAAGCCTCTGCAGTTGGCTTGGGACCCCGTAGAGGGCCAGCTGCGTTGAGTGTGAGCCGGCCGCTGTGCACTGGAGCTGCAGTGTGGTCTTGTTTGAAGTTTTGCCCTCTTTCCCTTCTTGTGAGGGGCCATCAGGTCAGTTCTGACTTACTGCAGCCCCGTGTCCAGCAGAGCACAACCCTGCCCCATCCTGCACCGTCCCACAGCCTCTGCTCTGCTGAACGCCTCGGTGAAGTCACCGCGTCCAGCGGTCCTGCTGAGGACACCCCTGACCCTCTGCTTCACCAGCATCATGTCTTCCCCCAGGCACTAGCCCTTCCTGATAGCATGCCCCAAGCACGGCAGACCAAGTCCCACCAGCCTTTCCCGGGAGCGTTTTGGCGGTACTTCTAAACCAAATTCTTGGTTCTGGCAGCTGTGCTCGGTAGTATTCTTTGTTACCACCACAGTCCAGAGGCCTCACTTCCTTCGTCCGTGCCCAGTGTTTGAATGCGTATGAGGCGACTGAAATGTTACGGCTTGCATCGGGGACCTTAACCCTCAAGCTGACATCTTTGCCTTTTAGCACTTTAAAGAGGTCTTTTACAGCACATTTGTTCTATGCAATACTCTGATTGTCCTATTAAAAACAGAATTAAAACCCCTTTTATTTGATAGATGCTTGCCAGTTTGGGTAACCTTTTTATAACAGTCAGCTCCTGAATAATTGATTCTGATTTCATATTTTTTTTCTAATTAAAATTTTGTCATCCTTATTTCCTGCTTCCTAGGCATGGGTTCATAGTTATTTTTTTAATGTGATATAAAATTCTTAATTTGGGAGAGTTTTTTAAGATAAAGTTTAAAAATTTTAAGTTTACTTCTGCATGATATTCTCACAGCAACCCCTAAGTTTTGTTTTTTGTGGGTTTTTTTTTTAAAT